CACTGATCACTGGTTGAAAACAGGCTGGGCATCAGTCAGTGGGTTGTGAGCAATTGTATTGTGCATCACTTGTTTGTCTTGAGTTCTATTCCTCTCTTTTTTATCTTCTTTTTCATTATAATTAGTAGTAGTACTAATAGTAGCATATTTTACTTCATTTCAAATTTTAAGCTGTTCTTATCTCAACCTATCAGTTTTATGTTTGTTCCAATTCTCTCCTTCCCATCCCACTGAAGGGGGAGCAGTAAACAAGAGGCTGCATGGTACTTACTTACCAACACCAACTGGTGTTAAACCACACCACTCTGGAATGGAAGTATGTTTGCCTAGCTGAGGTAGTGAGTAAAGAACATTCAAAAAATTGTGGATTTCCATACGTATGTCGTTGCTCTGTGTTTTTAAATGTCATTTAAAGTTGATTTCTAATAGACAAAATTTATCCATCTGCATCTCTAATTTACAGCACAAAATTATGTAATTTCTATCAAGCTGACAAAAGAACATACCTTCTGAAAGGTAGTGAGTCTGTCCAGGTCTTCTTCAAGTTCCAAGCTCTTTTCTTTTGATCACTCACACTTCAGTCTTTTTTTTCTTTTTTGGCACACCTTTTGTTTTTTCCCACTTCTCCAGCCATATGCAATGCCACTACCTACTCTGCCTAGGGCTCTGCCTAGGACCCACTGCTATGCAAGGGAGTCTATGAAGTGCACTGACAGACTTTGGATTAAGCTCTGACCATGGTACCACATCAGCTGGAAACTCTTTCTAACAGCTTAAACTGTTGCTAACCTGCTGCTCATGGGAAAAACCCTAGCGGGAGGACACAAACATCTGTAATCAAGGCTGACATCTAAGCACAGTCACTAAAGTATTTTGGGTTTCTTGGCATCAGTTCTGGCAGACAGCAGCTCTCAGTGAAAACATAGCATTTGTTGGAATTCTTTCCTGGAAACATCAAACATACTTTAATCCAAGTACTATTTTCTTGTGAATAGAATCAAAGAATTTAGGAAAGTGCTCAGGGACACAGACATTCCAGATTCTATTTTAATTAAAGACTATAAATACTCATAAAAAGAGGCTTGTACTCAGCTTTAGGGATCAAGCTGAGTAATCCTCATTGACAGCCTTCTTGTATTTATATGATCGTGTTAGATCTTGATAAGACAGTGATTTATCTAATGCAGAAACTTGCAAAATCTCCATCACATTCTGCCAGACCTTTTAATTCCAAAACAGGTCAGGCAGGGTCATATCCAGATGGCTCCCAAACCAACTGGAACCCTCCCTCAGCTCCCAAAGGACACTACTGGAGAATACCAGTGACTTCAAACAGGTGTGAAATCCTGCTTGGCCTCAGCTGTACTGAACTCAAAACAGCCATCAGACAGAACCAAATATGCAATTCCTAATCTGGTTGCTGGAACTCAGTCAGTGATCACCCATGGTAAGAAATGAGCAAATGCAACAGGACCCTCTGCCCTACTCATGCAAATCCCTCCAAATGCAACCAAGGAGTGTGATGTGCAGCAGATAGGCTGTATCACACAGATACAGGCATTGCCTGCATGAATCAGAAAGACTGCATCCTGTGAGTAGTTTCAGCACGTGAGCCTTTATGTGATAGCAGAAAATATAAAGGGAGGGAGAGGATCTAGTGATCATAAAACTTCCTGGCATCAACTGACACAGCAAGGGCAGAAAGGACGCATCTAATTTTAATATTTCCTCCACAGGAGTGGTTTTGTCTTCCCCTCAGACAAAGTGAAGAGGCTTTCTCTGACCATAAACTGTTCAGCAGGGATAATGCCTGACTTAGCAAAGGCAAATTATGATCATCTGGCAAAGTTTCCAATTTCCAATCTCCTTTTTCTGGATTAGACAGTCTTTGCAACCTAGCAAACAGGGTACAATGGTATGAAAAGGAGGATAGACTCCAGTCCATACAAAGAATGCCCCTTCCAGTAACATATCTTTTTCAGGTAGGTCAGATCCTGAGCACCTCGGCCTTCTTGTTCAGCTTTTGCCACTGATGTTTTAAGCCATTTTGGCTCTGTGCATCAAGCACCCACCTCCATAGCCACCACACAGACCCTCTTTCAGTCTTCTCCAGAGGCTACATAATCCTATTGGGAATGACCTCCAAAACTTGACAGCAATCCCTGTTTTAGATTGCTTTAAAGATCACTTTTCCACAGGAGTATACAAAATACAACCAGATCTGTGTTTTATATATATAAATTGTTAGCCTAACCCAAAATGTGTTCACTGGATTTGAAGAGAGAACTCCCATTTTACCTTCACAATGGTGCTGGAATGGTTGAATAAAGTGTTGCCCTGCTGCCCATATGCCATTCAGCTTCTGTCTGTCTTTTTGTTTACACTGGGAATACAATAGGAACTATAGTCCTTCCAATGCATCATTTATAAGTGTATTCTACCTCTGAATGTACAGACAGAACTGGCTCTGTGAATGAGCTCTGTGAATATTGCCAAGACACTGTGCTTTGTTCAGCATTATTCTTCACAATAGATACCACACTTTGGAAGTAATTTTAAAAAGGGAATCAAAATAGTGGTACTTTTAGCCTTTGTTTCTTTTATACCACACTGCATTCTCTGTCTCTCACTCAGCTGCTTCTATTATACTGACAAATTAAATAAACCACTCCATTGCTAAAGAGGCTTGGGCGGGCTGGGCTTCGGTACACTGCCGCACAAGGAAGTCGAAATAAACATTTATACCAGTTTTATTCTTAACAAATTTAAGCTAACTTTAGTCAAGCATCTTTTTTTTTGTTGGTTTTGAAATTTTTTTTAAGAATGAATGAAAGAAAGAATAAGGGAAAGGGGGAAAAAACAGGAAGGAGTACTTCAAATTTTTGAGTCGATCTGCAGCATCAAGGGATGTGGCATCTGAAGCAATGAAGTAATGAGGAACCGTGTGTCCAGGTAATGAGCCTGATTCTTTTAGTGCTCCAGTATTTAGAAGCGCTGCAATTTCATTCCTGCTGTGGGGCCTCTGGGAGAGTGACTCGGTGAGTTACGGGCAAAGTGGCGTGGTACAGACAGGGTCCCTTGCAGAGGCTTGCTGAATGCAGCTCGCAAACTTCTGCAGCAAACTTTCCACTCGCTCCAGGGATCTACCTCTCCTGCTGCAGGCATAGCTCTGTTTTGGAAGGCGTTTGTTCACATGCTCTTCAGCATATAGAAATAAGGGCAGGTGGGGGAGTGCTGAGAAAAGTGTGTGGATGGCAAGGGCAGGTTGCGTTGATTTACGGATGTGTATTTGTAGACAGATAGATAGATGGGTAAAAAAATGTGTTGGCTTTTAATTTGGCTATAGAACTATATTCCCACTGCACCTTTCATAAAAAAAGAGAAATAAGAAAATGCAGATAGAGTGGCAATGTGGCCTTTACCTGCTTCAAGATGCTTTCTGACTTTTGGCTCTTTTCTTCAGCAGGTAGTAAACAGAGAGGAGAACTGGAGAGCAACTTGTGGTGGTCTGCTTATGTGTAGATTAAGTATGAAAGGTCATCTTCCACATTTGCAAACGCTGGTGCAGTGATGGGGATGTATGCCGTTTATAGAGGCTTGTCCGTATCGTCCAGTATTTTCAAAAATACTGTCAAACAAACAGCGTTATTTTCCCAAATGAGATCAGAGTAATGAGCACAATGTTGCCTGGGTTAGGACTGAAAGCTCCCCCTGTACTCCTGGACTAGCTGCGTGTGAATAATGCAGGACGAGCCTCATTCTGCCAGTGCCTTTCCCCTCCTCTCCTAACAAAGCAGAGAACTTTACAGGCAGGAGTCTGAGCTAGAAAGGGAACTCCTTTTTTTTTTTTTTTTTTTTTTTTTTTTTTTTTTTTTTTTGGTGGGGGTGTTTGTTTTAAAGGACCTTAGAAGTGGTCAGCTTCCTTCTGAAATCGGCACTAAATGCCAGCCATGGGCTGTGAAAACCTGAGGTTCCTTTCCGAGGCAGGGAGGCTGCAAAACAGGCTGGGACCGCTCCAGCAGGGATGGCCTTTGGCGGTCAGGTCAGGCAGGGAGCACTTGGCAAGGAGTGATCAGGGCTTATTTTTTATTACTATAGAAAGACATTGTAAAAGCGGGAAGGAAAGAAAACCCTTCAGGTGAAATTTCCTTCTATTGTCTAGCAAAATTCCCTTTAATTTGTCCCCAGGGCCATCCAGCCGCCTTGCAATTCCCCACTCCCGCCTCTGTCAACGCCAGCGGCGGGGGGGAGCTCCCTAGAGAAGGGAGCGGGAAAGCTGAAGGTCAGGGTTACCCACTGTGGCATGACTTTTAAGCTAAAGGGGGTTTTATTTCTCTTGTTGCCGTGTCAGCTTTAATTTGGCCTGCATTATTCCAAAAGGGTGGGCCTGCTCATGACAGGAGGGGGTTAAATGGGATTACAAGCTTTAGAGGTTGTCAGCAGCCACTGCTGCCTGGGGATGTAAAATTGCGATTTAATGGTCAGCTCTATCTGTATAGTATCAGTGGAAATCTGCTGTTTTCAGCAACTTAATAGGCACTGTGTTTTCAGGAGGGGCCGGTTTTTGGGGGGAGGGAGGCGGCGGGGAGAGCTGGCGCGGGCAGCCCCTGCAGCGGGCTGGGCCGGGCTGCGGCACCCACAGGGGCTCAGCTCCCGATGGAAGCGGCGGCTCCGCGCCCCGGCCCGGGCAGGGCACACACGGCCAGGGGAGCGCCGGGCGGCGGCTGCGGAGACGGGCGGGCCGGGCAGGGCGGGGCGGGGCGGCAGAGGAGCCCCGGGCGGGGTGTCCGTGTGTGTGTGTGGGTTGTGCGTGTGCCGCGGGCGGGGGGTGAAACACGCTGAGGGCAGGCGGAGGGGCCTGGCCGGCAGACCCCGGCATTGTCTGCTCGCGAATGAGGGGTCAGCCCGGAAAGTTCAGGATTAGTAAATCTAATATCCTGTCAAAATTCTCATGGTAATGAGCCCCGGCCGGCGGAGCAGGCGGAGCAGCCCGGCCCGGCGCTCCCCGCCAGCCGTGTGTGAGCCGGGGTGTGCAGCGCTGCCCGGCCCGACGCCAGGCCCGCTCCGAGGGCTCCTGCTCGTTCCCAAACAGAGGTCTGCGTATGGATTTTCTTCTCCCTTGCAGCATATCCCCCGCACTCGGGGTGTCTGGCGTTAAAAATAAGGGAAGAGAGGCGAAATTACGATTAACCATACACATACTGCGTTATAAGATGTTTTTCAAAGGGCTTTTCTCTCGTTTGCGGGATGGTAGGTTTAAAACGGCAGACAGGAGGAGATAGGAAGAAAATAAACCACTGTGCAAACCAGTAGGATTGCAATAAATAATAAATTGTAGGCCACAACAGTATTTTTTTGAGCTCACAGATAATATAAAAATACAGTTCCTAAGCAAGTAACAAAAAAGATGGGGGGAGGAGAAGAGGAGGGGAAAAAAAGAAGGAGGGGGGAGAGAAAGTTCCTGTGCACTTTGTTCAAGGTTCTGCACCTCTCTAAGCAGCTGTCACATCCGTACATTATGGTACATTGAATCTGAATGAGGCTCTCCACATCAAAACCTTGCATCCATTATGATATCATCTCCTGCTCTAAGCTGTAATGCTTATTAATTCTGCACCCATACTCTCCAAGCTTCAGCAAATGTATTCCATCAGCCTAGCATTTAATTTAATTAGTACAGCTGGGCTCTCATTCTCCTTTCTGTGTCAGAGGTATTGTCAGCACGTTCTGCTATAACACAATTACTGATTGCTTTTAGATAGGCAGAAATATGATTAGGGTATTGGGTGACTGTATCATAAGCCTTATTAGATTCATTTGAAATCTGGAGATAAATAGGAAACTTTTATTTGCAGTGTAATGAGATTATGCTTATTAGGCCAAGGCCTCACAACCTTTTGCAAAGAACATAGTGTATCACTAGGATTATACTCTGGAACCACACTTTTTGCTCATAGCATCCAAGCAATTTCTCAGCAGCTTTGAGATTTAACTGTTGTAGCCCTGTACACATTTTAGAATTGTTTTCTGGCTCAGTGGCTTTCTCCTTTAATAGAGTGCATGCACCTTCCACCGTATGTTTTCTTCTGCTTAAACCAAAAATTCAGGACAATGTTTTGCTTGAAAGAGGAAGGGTGTTTCGGTGAGCTTTGAACATGTATGGTTAAGCAAACATGCCAATGCACTGGGGAGAAAAGTTTTGGCCAATATCAGTCTCTTTTCTTTTATTTTTTTAAACTATTTTTTTCCTTCAGTAGAAAGCTACAAAAAACATTTCACACACAACAGTTTTCAGAAGGTAAAAAACATTGCTCTTGAGATACTTTGGAGGTTGAATCTTGAGATAGAAATAATGAGTTAATTTTCTTGTGTAAAAACAATGGAAAGGCTGCACATTTCATGTCACTTCCAAAGAGTGCATTTAAATCTTAATGTATACATCACAACCTTTTGTGTTACACTAGCCTGACAAAACATGTGACACAGTGTTTGAGAAGCAAGTATTGTATTTTTAAAAGTTCATTTATTACATGGATTCAGAATTCTGATCTGGTAATTTCCCTGTTACAATCAAAGGTACAAACAACTTGACAGGTTATAGAAAGGAGTCCATCAGCTTTAACATCGGTGTCAAATTTAGGTTTCATTCTCTTTCTGCATAAGTTTTGCTGCAAACTCCAGTGGGAGCAAGATTAGGCTCTTACTGGATCCCTTTCCTTTCTGAGTGGTATTACCCAGCATGGAAGCATTTTGTAACTTGAGTGTCGCAAAACCACGAACCTAGTTTTGTATTCCTTGTTACATCACTTGCTGTGCAATTAAGATAAAAGAATTTGTCAGGCTGTTGGTGTCTCAGGCTAAGATCAGACTTGGAGAGGAAAACGTGGATTTGTGCTATCATGGTATTTTTACTTGCATTGGCCTAGCATTGAAAGCATGTTGCAAAGACTGGCTTGTTTCTGTCATTAGCAAGTTCCATGTTGCATTGTTTATCCTGAACATTTGTGGTATTTAAAACTGGCATGAGAATAAGCTTTAAAGAGTCCAGGAGAAAGTTCTTAAAGATGACATTTCTGTATTTCTCATCTAGTTACAAAGGGAGCGTCCAGAGAGTAGAGCTATTGCCACAGCCCAGTGGACTCCTGAGTGTGATGTTCCCAGCCCTGCCTCCACTAGCACTTCTGCAGGCACATCACTGTGCAGTTCTTTGTGATTCTCTAACTAGAGAATCTCATACCATAAATACACTTTTAACTTTCATGGGTAGGAATATGGATCAGTTTGCAATGGCTACTGACTTGCCTCAAGAGCCACAGTATGTGCCTAAGCAACAACAGCAAAAAGTTATTCCAGAGGAATGTTTCTTTAATTGGGAGACCTTAATGCTTTACAAAAAGAGAGGGATCATGTTCTTTATCTTAGGTACAGGCAAGCTGAGGCACAAAACAGTGAACCACTTCTAATTAAGTATCTAGAAGCAGCAGCTTTGCTAGTGCCAAATCTACTAAAAAGTCAGATACTTAAAATCTTGCATTTGCACTACACAATAAGAAACAGTTTTATTATTGTATAGCTCAATAAAGAGAGATGCCACTTTACATCAGGTGTAATTTGTAAACAGGTGATTTTTCATGTAGTTTTAGAGGACTGAATATCTAATTTCTTTCTGCCAAATGAAAAAAAAAAATGAATGGCAGCCCTGGTTTATAGTAGCTCTGAAAGGAGCAGAGATGACAAATGACATAATTTTCCAGTATGTTGCTTCAAGAAAATATTTTAAAGTGTGTTATAATTGCCGTATGTGAGAATGAACTGGTGGTCCTGTTCATTTGTCCCCCATCACTATCATCCTGATTTGCAGTGAGCAACAAGGTTATTCACATGCTCAGATTACACACATGCTTCGGTGCTCTGCTGGATCAAGGCCTAATTGACACCCTAATTGACAGGCTCAGTTGAGAGACTGAAGACTAAATTGGGCTTGGAAGCTGAAATGTGATGTATATTTTTACCCTCAGAGGTGGTTTGTCCAGGCTGTGTTTGAGATGTGTTACCAAATAATGTGTTCCACCTTCTGCTGTAGCTTTTGTTGCATTTCTTTTGTCACCAGATAGAGGACTTCAACTGCTGGGCATAAAACCCAAATAAATAAGTTAGACCAAACTAAATGACATGTTGGATGCTAAATCAAAAATTTTGGTTTTGGTCTTTCTAAAGCAAGTTTGTTAAAAGAAATACTAACAGCCATTTATTTAAAACCAGATTATTAAATTAGTGTAACTAATTGTTAGATTTTTTTTTTTTTCATATAGGCTCAAAGATAGAATCACAACAGAAATAATTAGGATAATTATTAAGGTCGTTGTTTTTCAAAGCCTCAGAGAATATTGCTTATTCATTCAAGTGATCTATATTTCCCATTTAAAAATTTAGCATTTACTCAAAGCTTTCATTTACAGGTATGTTTTTGGTAGTGTCATTTTATATTGTATCATGTAGTCTTGCTGTCTTTCTACTTTGACAGTGTTTGTTATTCACAATGATGTCAATGAAAGGGGAAATGTTACTGGTAATTTCTGTGTGCACTTCTAACACCCAAATACTTGTAGCAGTCATTTTCCTAATGTGTTAGAGAATTTGAAGATGGGGCATGAATTTGCCTTGATCTCTTAGCAGAATGAGCTGTGTACATTAAGGTACCAAAGCTAAGCATATTTATATACTCCTAAAGAAAATGCAGTGAGACATTATTTATAGAGTAACTGAAAAATTGAGGCAGTGATTGTACCCTTTTAGTGACAAGGAAGGAAGAAAAACCTAGCTCTGTTTAATATTTTTTTTTCTTTTTAAGACTAGTCTTTATAAAATGCAAAGAAAATCTACAAAAAAAAAATGTGAGCTTTACTGTGGAGAGGTTCTCAAAGGTTGTATACTGAAAGATGAATTTGTACCAGAGAATTATGAGGGAAAAAGAAAAACCAGCTTTGTGGACCCAGTTCTTACATGCTACTAATCACACAGGACACAGAGTGGCAGGATGTCTTCCAATATTTGTTCCTGGCACATTACACACACCATCTTTACAGGGCAATTGGACTAGTGTGGTCTCCTCCTGGATGGATTTAATGCTTGGATTTAAATCCAGATTCTTGTCTTGGTAAAGCCAGGTGTTTCTCTTGAATTCCTAAAATGCAAAATGGTGTTGTTCAGACAGAAAATAATGTTGCTTGCTAAATTAGCAAGTACCATTTCTCCTTGTATTTTGATACTGCTGTAGCACTCAGAGAGTATGCACTGTATGTACATTTGATGGAAACAAACACAAATAATACCAAAATTCTCTCATCCAGATCCCTTACCATTCTAATGATGATCAACTAGAATATTGTTGGTGCCATTGTTTAAATAGATACATTCCACACTAGAGTTAAAAATAGCAATTATAACATTTTTTATTTTCTTTTTTATTACTGCAAAAGTGCAGTGGTGATGATAGTAATACCTAATTCTTATTTTACTTGTACAATGGTAGATGCATAATGCCTTAGTATGGATCCAGCTGTTATGGTCTGATGATGGCCCGCCTTTCTAAGTTACAAAAAGTAGGTGCACTATACAGCTGGCCAAGCAACTGAGTAGAGAGAAAAAAAAGTTGATACAGTGATAAAAAATTGAGTGAACACAAGTTATCACATCACAACTGGAATAATTACAGCTCTGCATTTTAAAGTCACATCTGCATATATGTTGAAGTTTACATTTTACCCCCTTGGACATAATTCTTTTCCCCCAAAAAATGTTATAGCCCTTCTTATTTGTGACCATTTAAGTGGACATTGATAAAGGAGAAATAATCTAGTCTCATTGCTGAGCCACTGGGAGTATTGAGATGATGTAGATGTCTGCTAGAAGACAGAAAACAAAGGGTTACTCTGCTGAAACCTTTTGGCCAAATGACTGCACAAGCACTGTGCTCATGTGCTAGGACTCATCATTTTGTTGCTTGTCCACAATTCCAAAAACTAATTAGAGAAAAGATAAACCTTCCTTTCTTGTCCCTCCTCCAACTGAGTTTGATAAGCCTTGCTCTCTGTGTAGTACTCTTCCATGCTCTAGCAACGTCCTAGGACAGCTAGGCAGGACTAGTTCTGCTGATGTTCAGTGAAATTTTCCATCTGGATCCTGTTTCTCTAACCCTCCCTTCCAAAACCGGTGCACCTTTTCCACATTTAAAATTACCAGTGGCTTTATGAAAAGGTGCTGTGAGAAGTTGCAATGAAGCAGAAATTAATCCTCTCCTCACCATCTTGCAATAGAGTCAGGATCTCATTCAGCTTTAGGGTGGGCATTTCCTAACCTGGTAGTCCATTACTTTACAAATTTGTGTGAAACTGATTTCAGAATAAAGGGCTCACCTTTTAATAGACTTAGTCTTCTCTTCTATCATGTCATGGCACTGAATTGATATCCTGTGTCACAGAGGTCTTATAGAGTTATCAAGATTCATTTCTAAGGGCGAAAGAGTTATTTGATCAGATCCATAATATAAAATGCTTTTGCCTTCAGGCATTTTTGACATGCATGCACTTTTCCATGGGCAAAGAAAATGTGAAAACTTGCATTAAAAATGATGAAATTCTGTAAAATTACTGTTAACACTTACTTGCCTTAGGTTTCTGTTATGTACCAGCTGACATTCAAATAATGCATGACAAATCTTCTTTCCATGTTTTCTTTTTTCCTTTCAAGATCCTTTTCTAATTATTAGCCTCTCTGCAGTGTTTTTGGGGTTTTTTTTGTTTGTTTTGTTTTGGGATGGACTATGCCATTAATATTCCAACAAACCCTCTGCAGGTTAAAGCTTAATGTATTTGAGCCCCTACAGACAGACTTTTTTCTTGCCCAATGCAGCAGCAGCAACCTGAAAATCTATGTTGATGGAGGTCATGTGTTGTGTTACATGCATTTTCTCTGCTTCTTCTCTCCACTTTGGTATTTAAATATATTAATTTCTTTCCTGCTGTCTGCCACAATTTTTTATACTTGCAGAATATTATGGGGGCTGATAGTGAATACTTCTCTTCCCCAGTGCCTTCGTGTGCTGTATGGAAAACAAACAGGAGAGTTAAGACTGTATTTCTCACTTCCAGTAACTGAGTCCTGGATTCTGTTGCTGAGACTGAATAGAACAGGCTACATGGTGAGTTTATTTCTGAGCACAGAGCTGCAGTAACTACATCTTGATTAAGAAATGCCACTAAAAGCCAGATGACTTAGATTTTATTCCAGTCTCTGATTTTTATTTTCCCTTTAACCTGAAGAGGAGTTCTGAAATATGACTGCTGATTTGTTTAGAAATCTTACCGACACTTGAATGGGTCTTCTGGGATGGATGTCCTGTTGAGTTGTGTTGCAAAGCTACCCAAGTATAGCTGCTGCTTATGTTAGCCAGTGTTCATAAACCAGTTTCCCAACAAAATACACTTTATTAAAGATGGATTTGTTGGTATTAGTGTGCATATGCATAGAAACAAACTGCTAATCCAGAGCAAAATTTAGTGTCGTCTCTTTACAGTGTCTGGTAGCATCCATCTTCTGGGTAGTCTCTGTTCAATGACCCAACGCAAGCACATGGGGACCTGTGGGTTTCACTTTGGAAAGCTTCAAATGTCTACCACTAAAAAACATCTTTCATCAGCCTGTTCTGAGATTAAATTAATTGTTTTTAACATAACATGCGAGTGTTTAAGAGTCTCTGTATAACTACTGGTCAAAATTTCCCCAAATTTACAATTTTCAAAAGTTTGCAATTAAAACCCTATTTTTATTACAAACCTTGTAAAATTTGCACTGATGATACAATGATTTTGTCATACTTGTGATTGGAGCATCTTCATAATGATAAAATGGGACACACCAGCATTTTACAAAAATAACAAGGTAATACAAAATTTTCTGTGGCATATTTTTAAGATATTATAGTAATTGTTGTTTCAAGTACCTCATGTTGTTAAATAATATTGTGGCCATTTTTTAAAATAAAACTGGATTGATGAAAATCAGATTCCGAATAAATTATTAGAAGCTACAGGAATTCAGATGTTGAGAATAGTGATCAACTTGATATATACAGATGAAGGGCAGTATAGAGGGAGCAGATATAGTTAATAGATATGGTAAAAAATTTGATAGATAGAGTAAAAATGTTGGTCTTGGACTTAAGTAATTGAGAAGAAGAAAATGACCCAGGGAAAGCAAAAAGGGACAGAAAGGATGCTTTGGAAAAATGGTTAGGCAATAGAAGATTGTATGACTGGGAGCTGATGGGATGGAAAAAAAGATCAGAAAACACTATGCCTTGTGCAAGAGGAAAGAAACAGAAGTCTGTGTTTTATAGGTTGATTCTCAACCATGTTGCATTTTGTTGTATCACCATAACTCAGTCATCTTCATATAAGTCAACAACATCAAGGAAGCTTAATTACTGGAGTATCTGCTGCTTATCTATGTAGGAAAAGTGTTGGACTTGGTGGTCCTTGGGGTCTTTTGACATATTAAAACATGTTGGAGCAAGTCCAGAGGAGGGCCATGAAGATAATTAGAGGGATGGAGCAACTCTCCTAGAGGAAAGGTTGAGTGATTTAGGATTGTTCAACCTGGAAGAGAGAAGGTTTTGGGGTGACCTAATTGCAGTCTTCCACTATCTGAAGGGAGTCTACAAGAAAGATGGAGAGGGACTTTACAGGGCATGTTATAACAGGACAAGGGGGAATCAAGTAAAAATTGGGAGAGAATAGGTTTAGATTAGATATTAGGAAATAATTCCTTACTGTGAGGATGGTAACTCAAAGGGACAGGTTGCCCAGAGAAGCTGTGGATGCTCCATCCCTGGAAGTGTTCAAGGTCAGGCTGGAAGGAGCACATAAGAACCTGAAAGGTGTCCCTGCCCATGTCAGGGTTGTTGGAACTAGATGATCTTTAAGTCCCCTTCCAACCCAAACCATTTTATGTTCTACAATATGTAACATAAGGAACTAAAATACAGTTCTCAATGACATTTGCTTCAGTAGCTTCAGGTTGGTCATTTGTGAAGAAGAAACACCAAAAGTCTAAGGAGTTGTTCTGGGACTTCCTGTTGAGACCAAACCTGAATCCTGCTGAGAGGGAGGTAGAACCATTAAACCTTACAGTGAATTGAGCCATGTCTTTGTTATCAGATTCTGAACTGTTCTCAAGTTCTTACATTTCATCTTCATGCTGGCTGTGTCTAGACCCTATCTGGAGGAAAGCCAGGCATGCACCAAAGTTAACCTTTACATCTCTGCATCCAGATGTCCATTCATGTATGGAAAACCATAGTCTTTCCTAATTGGCAAGACTCTGTGATTCCAGGTTTTATGTCAATAGGTACATCACATGAATACTTAAGCAAAGAAGAAAATCAGATCCCTACAACCATAAGAGTTGCTTGGGTTTTTTTGTGTTTGTTGGTTTGTGGGTTTTTTTGTGGCAGGAATCTTAAGTATTAATGATTTCTAAGAGTTGTCTGATGTCTCTTTGGACGTTCTGCTGGTTTCATTGCCATCAGACAATAAATTTAGCTTACTTACATATGTCTACATTTCAGCTAGTAATGTAGTAGCAAGAGTACATGCATTTTTCAAGTTAATATGGACAAGGTCCTGATTTCATTAGTTTATGTGAGTACCTTAAGACAAAAATTATGATACCTGTTTTTCCCTGCTTTGCGTATGATTATATCTAAGACCACAGCAGGGTTTAGTGGTAAACAAATGTAATTTGGATATTTTTTTAGGTATCAGTTGGATTGGGGTACTGGAACCTTCTGAATGACAAAACCTCTCTAGCAATTGTTGGTTTCATTCTATTAATATACTGAACCCACTACACACATATAAATATTTATATTTTTATATGTATATCTATATATCTATTTTATGAAGTTACCCAATATTGAATTTAAAACTTCAGGCTGTTTCTTAAAGTGAGGTAGCATGTATAGCATGATCACTGGGTCATATAGTGAATCGCTAACTCAATTATTGATGATAATAATGAGAGTAAATATTATCTTTTATTAGGTGTGTAGTTCTAACAGAAACAACACCACTCAGCCTCTACTATGTTTGCCATTTTCAATCCCCAGAAAGAGAAAACGTGAATTAAAACTGATGAGAAATGCATTCAGTGGGGTATATGTCACACAGCTGCAATAGGGATAATTGGAAGCTTAAATCCTAATCCTGCAAACACTTAAGCGGTGCTACTTCAGTGCATGCAGGTTGACTTAAATGCAATTACTCATTTTTTCAAAAGTGCACCTGCTAAATCATATGATATAAAGGGACAGAAATGGGGTTTTATTTAGCATGAACTGCTGAAACTCTGTGCAACGAAACAGACCGGTGGAATTACAGTTGACTCATACAACATTATCACATACCTGTGCATACATTATTCATTTCTCCAATATTCTTCAAGATGTTGAAAATTTTTGATGGAGTAATATACATATATTCAAAAAGAACAAAATAAGTAGCAATCCCATAGCAAAAAGATGCATGCTTAAATTATGTGTAGCCATGTGTACAGGCATGTGCCTTTGGTACAATGATTTGTCAGTGAAAAATGTTGGATAGATGTAGTTATTAGTTTTTCTGTCTGTCATGAACTCACTCTCAGCAAGCTCTGAGGTCTTTAATGTTATTATATTATTTAATTTTACTCTTAATCTGAAAGAGCAGCCTAAGATCAATAAGGGGATGGTTTTATCTTAATCTTCACTCCTTTCTTCGTAAACATGCAGATGTTCAGCCTTCTAGTAACACCAGTGATGATTTTTGATGCATGAGGACAATAGAATAAACTAATTTCACCTTAAACACTATCAAAACTGATAGCCTGAATATATTAATACCAGAAGGAAGTACTGCTTGTGCCTTTCTGGAAGTTGGAAAAATATCACAGTAGAGTTTGGAGTTAGGTTGCTTTTTCCTCCTTTTACTACCTAGTGACAGAGTGGCATTGACATGTTGCTGGGCTTTTTTAGAAGGATAGGTTTGAATTTACTTTTTGTAGCTCAGCTGTGATCAATAGAATTGGCAGTTTGAGATATCTTCATTTTGCCTAGTGGGAAGTTCCTAACCAATACTGCTTCCTCCAGGAAAACACTGATGGAATTTTTTAAGCCTTTATCCTCCATGTATATAAAAGGTTTTCAGTTATGGGTTGCATATGTAATGTATGTAAAACATTTTAGAATTCGAAAGATATTCTAATTTAGTGAACTTTTGACTACGCCTGATAGAAAACATGAACTTTATATCTGCTTGGAATATGGGGGAAACTATTATGTTTGTTTTCTTAATTTCCTTATCTGGGGTGCCAGAGGAGATAAGTATGTCAGCAGTAAGAATAAGCTGCAGAGGAAGCTTGTTGATTGAGGGATGAATAGGTGGCAAAAGCAGTTTTGTCCAGCCTGTATTTGGCACCTGGAAGTGTTTCTCTGTTTCTGCATCTGGATGCATCTTCTGGCTGTATCTCACTCCTAGGGGTAGATGAGAAGGTACCATGTTTCTTGTCAAGCCACATGAAATTCTCCTGTATGGTACAATGTGAGCATACATTCCAACAACTAGACAAAGCCTGTGCATGCACAGGTGAGGCTCTGCCATTTTAGGATATCCTAGACAAAGGAATGTAATTAATTATGTACTGCCATCTAGTTGGGCACACGCTACCAAAACACTTTCTGAGGTACACATGAGCTAGGCCAAAATAAAGTAAGGGCCATCATAGAGTAAGCAGCATGAAAAAAAGTCACTATTCTTGTACTTTTGTAATTAAAATGATCCAGACCCTCATGTTTTGCACTGGCTTCGGCAGTTCTACTGTGCATTGTCTGCTACTTCAGACTTACACTACAGACTTAGAGGTTTTTGACATATCTGTTCCTGCTCCAAAGTCATTCAAAAAGATGGTTAAGATGTATATGAACCATTTCTAGACCATGAAAGCTTCTCTGTGTGTCTAGGGAACTTCGTGGTCCTGAAACACAGGCAGTGCTTGACTTTGCAGAGTCACTGAGTAGGAGATGTTTGAGGGCAGGCAGAGGAGCAGCATCAGGAACTCTCCTCATCAGTGAGCTCTCCTCATCATCTCATTCTTTGTACTGCCAGTGGACAGGGATAGACACACAAGCTGGCCAAATGGATTGAAACAACCAGTCAAGGTTTGAGTATCTCCAAGCAAGTAATAGACTCCATAACTTCTCTGGACTATCCACCAAGGGTGAGCTAAATTGTGCCCTTAGAAGCACCTGTTCCACTCTAGCGAACATGAAGAAAACCTAGATGATCATTCAGATGGAGGCATCTGATTGAGGTGTAATAAGGCCTGCCCCTATGATCACTTAAACTAAGACTTAGGCAGCATAGAGATGGCATAGATTTGGCTCTTTTTCATCATATTCCTTTCCCTTGCCTTTACTTGTCCTTTATTTGGAGGTAATTTTAAGGATGTATATAATATTAATTATGCAATTACTGCAATTACTTTCTATTCATATGATGCAAAATCAAAACTTGAATTAACCAGTCCAAGTCATCCATGAACCTTTACCCAAAACACAAAATAACTTCTTTTAAAGTTGAAAATCAGTCTGAACTGCTGTTCCTTTTGAGGGAGACAGTTTTCAGTTCTTCTATGACAGTATGTGTGCAGGTATGCTTTGTTCAGCTTGTTCATCTAAGATTGACATATTTGTAAATATTGCATAGAGTAGTTTGAATTACATGTTGTTTGTGTTGCATTACAAGTAGCTTTGGGCTCCTGAATAATCTTGGCATAGTTTCATGTGATCTAAGATCTAATACCTTTTGTCTTGTAGTTTAAGAGTATAGCATTGAAATTTCTGTCATGACTGCTCTGAAATTTAATGGAATAGATTTATAGCCAAATGATGTAAAGATGTCTGAAAACTTTTAGGAATGTGTGAGCAAACTTTTTGGCGCTAGTGTCGCTATAACTTGTGTGAGTTGTATGTCTATACATTAAGTATATATGCACATAGACTGTATATGAACACATAGATACTTGTATGACTTGCTGATCTAAAAATCTTTAAGATTACTTTAATATAGGAATTTTTTAATCCTGGAATTCTGTCTTATAGTCAACAGGAAATATGATCACTCTTTACTGGAATTCTTTCCTTGATGAGATTGTATTTATATCTGAAGGAGTGTATCTAGTACTATTTCAGGTCAAAGCAGACAAAGGTAGTACTCTTATAATTACTTTGTTTTCACTGAAAGGGGACACAAAGAAGCCAAGATACTTGCCATACTAATATCGGAAGTCTGTAGAAATTAAATCTGATTCAACCATGAGCACATTATATATTTACCTGATGAGGGAGGGAAATGTTCATACCTGTTGGTCAAGTAGATACATGAGTTTGGGATTTGTTTTCCTTCTTTTTTTCTATTTTTTACCTAGATTTTAATTTAGATGAAGAGGAATGAGAGTGTCTTTGTGGTGTCTGTGTAGTGTATTGATTTCAATGTTGTACCTTAAAGGGCTAATTTACCATGTGTATCTTATCTATATGAGTATGTCCTTTGTGTCCAGTCTAATAAATGTTAAGTTCCTGGGTGTTTTTAGTGGGACTGGGATAAATCAATCTTTTTTTTATCCCCAGGGCATTCTTCTCTCCATCACAGAGTTGCCCTTTTACCTGTTCAGTGTAATTTAACCTGAGTCAGGAAATCAGTTTAATTTGTGTCTGGAAAACAAACAAATCCTAGAAGTAAATGCTCTTCCAATCCCTGAGGATTTAATATTTTCCATCACAGTCATATAATGCAGTATAATAAAGCTCCAAAACCCAAAGTAAATAAAAGAAGTCATTCTGTCCCAAGCCCTCAGGGACAGCCTAGTTTATTAAAACCAGTTTGGTGAAAATATGTCTGATGAAGTTGACTTTTTTTCCTATCTACCTGTGTTCAATCATTCTCCAAAATGTTTTTTTTCTCCAGTTACATAAATCTTGGTGAATTTGAGGTATGGAAGTAGAATAAATCCTGAGTTCTCCAGTCTCCTGTGAATGAACTCTTAAGCCTCAAAGTGTAGCATGGCCAAAGAACAGGCCTTTGACTCTGAATTAGTTTCAGATAAATAAGGAGCAACCTTTGACTCTTATTCTTCATAGAAGACTTGGTTTCAATCTATGCCAGAAGTATTTAGAAAAAATGTACTTGAAAATGTGATTCTAGCCTTATATCTTGGTAAAATAGCTGCAAATCCCAATTGCTTTCCTTTAGACCTTAACCTAGTTGTAGTTACTCTTCTGAATTACTCATACATAATGAAAAAAATGTGTTATCTTAAACTTTGCAAATCATAACCATTGCTAGTTTGTAGGGTTGGGAATGGGGAAGAACTACCTATGGATTTCTTTGAATATCAGTCAGGTTTGACATTCAAGTTTATGCTGTTATTTGTAGCAATAGTAACAATAGCAATTAGAGTTCAACAGATTTCATCCATAGGTGCCATATTTGCATTTCAAGGGCAGTGCGTGGTGAGTGCCTTTAATACAGCCACTCCTCAGTGAAAACAGCAGTGGTGTGGCAGTATTAAAGTGGTTAGTAAGGATGCCTCAGCCCAGGCCACCACATAGCAGCCACTAGGTTTCTAAGGACAAATAGCTCTTGCCTGCCCTAAGCAACTCAGTGAGAACATCAAAACACGCCTTGTGAGAGACCTCTAATACCCATTAGTGGTAGCAACTGTTACCTCAATCATGAATGACACAGCCCTAATTATTACGGTAATTAGAAGTTATAACACTGGCAATATTAAAGGGAGAACTTCTAAAGCCCATTAACAATGTTACTTTAAGTGATCTGGCTGTGAACTGCTCAAATCTCTAATTACATTATATGTCTGTCTTAAAGGGTGATGTAATTAAGTGATGAGAGAGTGAATGAATATATAGAGACTACTATACTATATTTTGTAAGTACTATTTTCACAGAAACCAACTCAGTAATGTCATTATGTCATTTAGGGGTAGGGTTTTTTGTTTGACTCTATACCACATGTAGCTAAAAAATACTTAGAATATATAAAAATTATATATCATGGTTTGGCATAGTGATATTATCAAAATGAATTTGGATTGGATACATTATTCAGGCATGACAATACCATCAATGCAATGGCTTTGTTCATACCACCTCAAACAGCTCTACATTTCAACATCAATGTAAGTGGGTAAATACCCATATGCTTTATATCCTACATGGAGGAAGCCATTTTAAATATTTTAGAAAGTACATAACCTGTTATAAAAATGAGTCAAGTTTATTAAAAGTTAACAACAGCTATGCCTGTGTAAGAACTGACGACAGACTTCTGCATTTTAACCTTTAGGTGTTCACAAATTTAAACTGAGGACCAGAGAACAGAGGAAGCTTAGCACCAGTCCCTTCTTTTCAGATTGGAAAGAAAGTTAGAAAAAAAAAAGGGAGTATAGTGGAAAACAGAGTTGGATGGATAGAGGATTCTGTAATTCTCCAGTCTTTGGTGAGTTTTCAGGTTGCTTTCCATGAATTACAAGAAGTAGAGGACTAGTGCTTTCCCATGTTCAGTAAAATACTCATTATCTCAGCAAAGAGAAACAAAATCAAGTAATTCCCTCTTCCTGGTTCCTTTTATTCAGAAATTTGCTATTTTTTCTGAGCATCAGACCTCCAAGTTCTCAGAAACAGTGGGATCCAAGTGCTTCTGCCTTTGCCAAAACCTCACCATCTGTATGCATATGCAGCCATAGTAGCAAAATTCATTGTGTAGTTAGATGGTTACATTTTTAAAATGGGTCACTAAAATTCAGTGAAAGTAGAAAAGGTCCATATACAACAAAGCAAATTAAAATCTGTGCTCTTTTATTCTGCTTATCCTTTCACATTTGATATTCCATCATGAGCTGACAACTCTATTAATCATAATTTTAGAGATGATTAGTGGATGATTCTTACACCCTTCCTCCAAATTCTATGGGGTGTCTTGAGTGAGGAAGATTTGTCAGCATACGTGGGCATAACAAGGTCTGACTATCACTTTTGTGTGGAGACACTGGCCCACATTCAGCCCTCTGTGAATGCTCCCCTGCTTGTACCACAAGAATCACCGAGTACTACAAGGGTTTGGGTTGAAAGTCCAAGCAGTTTTCGCAAATACTTGGAACAAGCATTGGTGATCGCATGGTCAAATGTAGTTCCAGGATCTGGCTAGAGTTGGATGTAGAGCCCCATCAGAGCAAGGCAAGTCAAAGTCAGGCAATAGAAGGGTAAAGATGCACATGGCAAGCATCTAGGCAAGACCTGGGATCAGAAGCCAAGCCAAAGGACAGGAAACTCTATACGGTTTTACCAAGCTGAAGGGCAAAACAAGAGAGAGAGGCAATGGTCAGAAAGCCAAGGAATTACAATGCAAAGCAGAGCATGGGAAGGAGAGGACACAAGAGGAGCCAAAGGCAGATTAAGCAGTTAGGATGCGGTTATTGCTTTGACACCCTGGGCAAAGAAGCAGCCGGATTCAGCTGGTTGTGTTTACCAGGGCTTCAGGAGTCAACAAAGTCTGGAAAAGAGGGGCCTGGCAGGTCCCTGGAGCTAGAACGAGCTGGAAGTTTCTATCTGCTTTCTAGTACACAGCCAAACATAAGACTGAAACATTTCAGCCTGCAAATAGCCATTATTAAAGAATTGTTTTGAGATGAGCAAGGAAAGGATTGAAATAAATGCTGTGCATATATGCCTGATTTACTCAGGGCATCTGTGGAGACATGGATATTGAAATAGGCAATGACCTGACCTTGGTCTCCCTCTTCACAGGACATGGCACTCAAGTTATGTGTGCTAAGGTTAAAGGAAAGATAGTATAACATTACATGGAAGGTGTATGTTCATGAAGTCTATTCAAATTTTTCTGTATTTTAAAATTCATTTTGAAAGAAAAGTCACTCCATAAAGTTATATTACAGAAATATTATGATGATGCTTAAATTGTACTCAAATTGATGCTGAAAGTCTGGAAATTATGTAGTGAAGGATTTTTTCCTAGAGAAAGACATCCAGGCTCCCAGATGTCAGAGGGCAATCAAGTCTTTCATTCTCAGTCGTATCTTAATCCTCACTGTCTTTTCTAATTCTGAGGTGCTGATTCTGAGAGGAGCTCCATGACCTCATAATTTAAGCTTTTTCTTACCTTTCGTGCACATTATAGTACAGTCCTTAATTTCACAATTGCTTACCTAGTCTCAAATATCACAACATAAACTATATTATATCTATGAACACCTTTAATAACATCTAGAAATGTTCAGTAATTCTGTTCTCCCTTTTGCTTCCACATGGAGAGAAATATGAACATTACTATTTCTGTGTGGGTTTTTTTTTTAACTGAAGCTTCTCAAAGATTATGAGAACATTGTCTACAAGTTCAAAATGCTCTACTAAAATGAAATACATACAACACAGGTGGTTTTGATCATATGACTAATGAAGAGTTGTGTAATAAATTGAAGTCATACCTCTCTTCACTTTGAAGAAGAATGGTGGGAAGATGGTAGATGAGTGAAGTCCTGGCACAAAGATAAGGCAGAACTGCTGTTCATCAAATTCCACATTATATGAAGTAGAGGCTACTCAGTGAAAACAGTAGGAAACTGAGTTAAAACAAAGAAGCAGATAATCCTTTTACCTACTGTATAGTGAATTTCCAGAACTTGGTACCACAAGAGATTGCAGATGCAGTCCCTCAGAGGGTCTTCAAAACAGGAATCAGAAAAATTGATGGACAAGTCCATAAAGTGATTAGAAGGACTAGACAGGAAGGTGCCCTCTGAAATCCCTGGTGTAATTGTTTGTGTGCTAAGTGAATACAGAAGAAATGGACTTCAAATAATGACTAGGCTCACATGCTGTCCCTGAATGACATCTCCTTTTGCAATTGAGACAAAATACTGGACTACAACAGTAGCTTCATGTTCTCATGCATTTTACTGCTTGTGGCTTTGGGTCACCTTGCTAATATACTACCTGCTAATTCATTCCTTCTGAAGCAGATTTAGTAGCTCTTTTCCACCATACACTAAGAATTTCTCTGTTGACTGGCCATAAGGTATCTCTTGTAAAACAGTTGTTTGAGTGTAGGTGATGAGGTGGCTATTTGACTAAGTAATCTGGGAAGACAGAGTGCACATCAAGACTAAATGGTTCTCTGTACAAATTAAGTGTGAACAGCTTGTCAGAGAAATAAAGATGTAGAGAGGAAAAGACCATTTACTCAACCCTGGGAAAGCTACATTAAACCTGATTTTATTCTGTCTTCAAGTGTCTTCATTGTTCTTTGTAAGTATGTGGTCAAGTTGGAATTTTGTAACAAAAAACAAAGCAAAACAGAAAAAAAGAAAAATAAATAAAATTATGATTGTTTCTAGACTAGCTAAACTTGCAGTAAGGGTAATATACTGACTATCTGGTACACAGCAAAGCACAACATTCCTAAGGGTGAGATGGTAACAAAAACTGAAATACTGGAGTATTTCTGAAGCTCCCAGCAATGGGGACCATTTTTTGCACAGGCTGGTTTGAGCGCTGATGCTGCCAGCATCTCCTTGACAGAGGCACCTTCCTGAAAACATATTTAGACAAATAAACTCCTTTATCTGTAGTAGGATAATGGAACTGAGACTTTATGGGGTTTGTAGCAGCAGTGTGCAAAATCAGCACAAGTAGGTGAATTCTTGATGTTGCCCTTTACTGACTGCTTGGTCCCAGTTCAAATTTTCTCATGTTTTCACACTGATCTTACATTCCTAGTTGGGAATTTATATTACATCTGTTAACTAAGAGAATTTAGTCACAAGTCTTCTCTAAGCTGAACAAAGTCTATAGGAGTGAGCAGGAAATGTAACTCACTGCAGATGGTGCTTGAGTGTGAATCTGGAACTCTTAATCCTTGTTTTTCTATCAGTCTGGCAAGTTACTTCACTGCCAGCTTCAGCCCTGCTTGTTTTCTTCAAACTAGAAAAGGAAGATCATAACATAAGAAGTGTGATTAGATGTTACCTTTTATTCTTTGGAGTTTGGCTTTTCTGATTCAGAATTCAAATTCTAGTGTTAAGATACGTGGTTCACATGCTATATTTCTGTCTCCTGCTAGGGACAGAGAAGTACTTTGGAAAAGGTAAACTACTTCTTGCTGTGAACTTATTTTAGGGAATATTTTGCAATATATATTTAATTATATTTTATTTAATTATATTCTTGCTAATAAACTTGATAAGCATTTTTAGAAGAAAAAGTATATAGGCCTAAAAACATATAAAAAGAAAAACCACTTAAAATATGAATATTTGTGGGCATCTTCTGTGGCTATAGTGTTTAGTTTTCATTATTATCCCATTCCTGGCAAGCATAAAAAATTTGGGACTACAAACTTCAAAATTATAAAACCTTTCAGTTAAAGCTGTGTCTGTAGGATGGAGCCCATAGCCTGGTGTGCACTAATAGACAAGTCTGCACAATGTATTGTGGCCAGTTTCATCTGGTGAGTGAGAATTTTTTTATTTATGTAACAGAGACTCCCATTTTTTGATCCATGTGACTCCAACTCCCGTTTTTTATTAAACATGCTTCTGCAATAGGAAACACTATATAAACTTAGAGGCATGGTAAAAGCAACTTGAACTTCTTCATGTAGATGTTGTCCTTGTATGTTTTATTTTATTAGAATTTTAGATAAATTTAATATTAAACATTTATCAGAAAACTATAGAGTTTAAATAAATATTATATCCTCTTACTAAAACCTCGATTTACCTGAAGAGTTCTGATAACATGTATACACCTCTCAAGTTACATTTTTGTTTGGTTATTTAAATATCACGTCCCCAGCTGAACCAATCCTGCTTGTGCGTTATCCCATATGAAATTTTTAAGCTTCCAGCTTAATATTGTTCCTCCTTACTGTTTATCAAATAGATAACTGGAAGAGTGTTCCCTTTTTTTATTGTGATTTATGTGCACTGTAAATACTTCAATCCATTTTCTCTCAAAGTTTCCTGCAATACTAAGATGAAAAGCCACTTGAAGTTCACTCACTGAAGGTGCTGTGTTGAACTGCCTCAGCTTTTTCCCTAAACCATGTGTTGCTTCTCTTTGAAACCACTGCAACAAACTTTTTAGGGCTCATCTGCCAGTGCTACACACAATAAACTAGCAAATCCCAGAAAAGTAAGGGAAGTAATTTCATATCTTCTGATGGGGTATAGCGATTTCTCTTCTGGTCAGAGATTACCTTAACCATTCTCCTTAGTACTGTACATAAAATGTGGTAGCTTTGGCTCTAGCCATCTGTCCTTCTTTTTCCCTCCCTTACCATGTCAGGTTCTTCATTGGTTTTTGGTTTTGGGGGTGGGGTTTTTGCTTATAATTAATAGTTGCAGACATTTTCTGTAGTCATTGGTTATGCTGCAAAAGTGTAATTTGGTGAAGGGGCATTTGCACAAAAGAGAAAATGGA